CTGTGGATCGGGTTGCACGCCACAACGAGCCTTATGGCTACTTATGGACTATGGATCGGGTTGCACGTCGCAACGAGCCTTATGGCTAGTTATACGATTGGGTCGGGCTGCACGCCGCAGAGATAAAGCGCTTGGACTGGAAGGAACCCCTCCAGAGTCTGTACACCCCACAGCGAGCGCAGGTACCTATTGAGAGCGTGGATTGAGGGCTAAGAGCCGAGAGTATGAGCCAATGAGATGAGTGTAGTAACTGCTGCCTTGAGAGGCTGTACTTACTTTTATTTATTGTTGCACTTAGTTGCTATCTGATGTCGTTGTGAAATTTCTAGAAGATTCATATCTATTTTACTTTAGCTCGAACGAATTTGACTTATACCACCGAATTTGAAAGCATGTTCACTCTTCACTGAAAGCTTTTGAAATGATCTGTATTATTATAGTTCGTCGCTACTTCTCAGTTCCTTATTTAATTATGTTATTTGCTAAGTTAGTTGTACTCATACTACACCCTGCACTTCATGTGCAGATCCCGGTGTGTACGGTTCTGGCGATCGCTGAGTTCGTGCGTGGGCTGATTATGGGAGACTTACGAGGTAGTTGCCGGCATCCACAGTCCTTGTTTCTCTTTTCTTATTATCTCTTCTCTCTTGTATTGGCATTTGGCACAGACTGTAGTAGACTCTATTTTCTAGATTGGTTATTAGATGCTCATGACTCAGTGACACCCCGATATCGGGCTATTTTTCCGCACTTATGTTTTATTTGGGTTTTACCCTCATTTTTATGAAAACTCTGGTTATTATAAATGTCTTAATTCATTTCTGTTATTTTTTGAAAGTGTTTCGGAAAGGTCGGCTTGCCTAGTATCACGATAGGTGCCATCATGACGGGTTAGGTTTTGGGTCGTGACATGTATAGGAAGGTAAACCCCTGTCACGACCCCAAATTCCCTCCGTATGAGGTCGTGATGGCACCTAGTCTCTAAGACTAGGTAAGCCTATCAATGTGGAATAATCATAAATATCTGAAATAAATAAAATACAATTCAAATAATTATAACTCCCAAAACCTGGTAGAAATAAGTCACAAGCTTATAAGAATTTATCCTTAATGTCTCTATATAACAGAGTCTAAAGAAAATAAGGAAGCAACATAAAAATGATAGAAGGGGACTCCGGAGTCTGCGGACGCTGGCAGATATACCTCGAAGTCTCCATGCGCAGGTAACTCACTGACGTCTAGGCTGGTAAGATGTACCTGAATCTACGCAAAAAGATGTGCAGAAGCGTAGTATGAGTACACCACAACGGTACCCAGTAAGTACCGAGCCTAACCTCTGTAGAGTAGTGACGAGGTCAGGTCAGGCCCTACTGAAAAATAATAATTTCATGGTAAAATGTTTAATAATATAATAAAATAAAATGACTTCATAAAGGAATCAAGTAGCGTGTCACCATTTAATTACACAAAATAATGGCAAATAATATCTCGTGGAATCAAAACAGAATTTCTTTTCAACTTTATGAAAATCACAACAAATAATCAAAGGCAACTATGACCATAAGTCAATATCAACAAGGGCACTCACGAGGTACAGCCTCGTAGTCCCAAATCATAAATAAATTCACAATATCTCATTTCCTTATCTCACTGCGGAAGCCTTCATAATTTATTTTAAAGAAAATATATTTTCGGAAATAGCATCCCGCGTTTTAGCCATCCTTATCACACCGCATGACTTCTAATAGTCACCCCTACTAGCCACGCGTATCAAGCCACCCTTATCTCACTGCATGCGTTTCAATACGCAGACCTTATACCACCGCATGCGTATTAATATCATAATTTGCACCTCAGGTGCTCAAATAATTTAACTTGCCAAAATAATTCAACAACAATAGTTTTTCACAATAACGAGCTCACGGCTCATGTCAACATAATTCAACAATAATATTTTTCCACAATAAAGAGCTCACGGCTCATGTCAAAATAATTCAACAATAATATTTTTTCACAATAAAGAGCTCACTGCTCCATCACAATGAGTACGCAAATATTACAAAAATATTCAGGAGTAAATAATTCAGGAAAATAATATTTTAAAATCTTTAATATGTTGCTTCAATATCAAGTTTAAAAATGTCAAATACTTCATATTAATAATATTTAATTTAAAGAAAATCAACCTTCAAATAATGCACAGAATAAAAGAAATCAAGTTCCAACTAAATAGATAAAATAATTAGCAGGAAAACGTCAAGCAAATTTAAAATATAAACATTAAATCAATAATGAAAAATATAACAAAATGAAATAATTTAATCAATGCGCAACAGTGATCTACACAATTTAAAACATAATCTTTCATATTTAGCCCGTGTACACACTCGTCACCTCGTGTACACGACTTTTCACACATTACAATTATCAATCTTAGGGGGAATTTCACCCACACAAGGTTAGACAAGTCACTTACCTCGACTTACTCCAATTTAACCAAGTATTATGTTTTTCCTCGATTTTCTGACTCCGATCGACTCGTATCTAGTCATAATTAATTCGATATTGTCAACAAAAATTATAGTCATCAATTTCATAAGAAAATATTATATTTTTTTAATAAAAATCCGAAATTAACTCAAAAATGGCCCGTGGGGCCCACATCTCGGAATTCGGCGAAAGTTACGAAATATGAACGCCCATTCAACCACGAGTCTAACCATACTAAAATGACTAAATTCCAATAACGATTCGACCCTCAAATCCTCAAATCTATCCAAGAGGGTTTTCAAATGTTTTCAACTTAAATCACCAATTAAATGTTAAAAACAGTGATGGATTCGGGTAATCTAACCAAGATTGAGTTAAGAACACTTACCGCAATATTTTTTCCTTGAAAATATATCAAAAATCGCCTCTGCTCAATCTAAGTTGTTAAAAATGGCGAATGAGACGAAGCCCCCCGGTTTTTATAACTTACAGATCTGTCCAGGCTGACCTCGATCATGGAGTCCGATCCTGGACCTCGATCATGGGAGTCCGATCATGGGGAGTCCGATCATAGAGTCCGATCATGGGAAGTCCGATCATGGGGTCCGATCATGGTCCTCGATCATTGCCCTTGGTCATGGCTTTCGATCATAGCTTCGATCATGGCTCTCGACCTTGGGGCTCGATCACAGCCATCAATTCTGGCTATTGATCATGGCTTTGATCTTTATGGCCTTCGATCATTGGCCTTGGTCATAGCCCTCGATCATGGGCCTCGATCCTAGGCCTTTGATCAGTGGCCTTCGATCACTGGCCTTCGAGCTTGCCTTCGATCATGGCCCTCGAGCCTTGCCTTCGATCATGGCTCTCAAGCCTGCCTTCGATCATGGATCTCAAGCATGCCTTCGATCCTCGACTCGATTTTTGGGCTCGATTTCTCACCTTCGATTTTTTTTGTGCTCGATTGCACAACAGAAGAAAATTTGCAGCAACTTTTGCAGCAGCTGTTTAAGTCTCATTTTTGATCCGTTAACCATCCGAAACTCACCCGAGGCCCTCGGGATCTCAACCAAATATACCAACAAGTCTTAAAACACCATACGAATTTATTTGAAATCTCAAATCACATAAAACGACGCTAAAACCACGAATTATGCTCCAATTCAAGCTTAATGAAACTTAAAATTTTCAACTTCTACATTCGATGTCGAAACCTATCAATTCAAGTCCGATTGACCTCAAATTTTGCACACAAGTCATAATGACATAACGGAGGTGTGAAAATTTTTAGAACTGGATTCCGACCCCAATATCAAAAAGTCAACTCCCCGGTCAAACTTCCAAACTTTAAATTCCTATTTTAGTCGTTTCAAGCCTAATTTCACTCCGGACTTTCAAATAAAATTCCTATCACGCTCCTAAGTTCTAAATCACCATACGGAGCTGTTGGAATCATTAAAATTCTATTCCGGGGTCATTTGCATATAATTCGACATCCGGTCACTATTTGAACTTAACTTTTAATTTTTCAACAAAATTCCATATCTCGGGCTAGTGACCTCGGAATTTGATTCCGGGCGTACGCCCAAGTCCCAATTCACGATACGGACCTACCGGAACTGTCAAAATACTGATCTGAGTCCGTTTACTCAAAATGTTGACATAATGGCTTTTGTGTCCAAACATGGGCTAGAGTTGGGCTAGCTAATTCAATTATGAAGAATTAATTCAAATAGCTGCTCACCCAACCACTCAAACTAAAAATAGCCGTGAAGGTATAATATATGCATGATTTATGTATTATATGTGTATAATTGTGTATAATTAATATATAAATTATATATATATTTTAAAAAAGTAAACAATGATATGGACAACTATTTATCTAAAGATCCCTTCAATGATCTAGTTCCCCATACCCACTTTTTGCCCCAGTTGTTGTAGTTGTAGTTTGGAGAACTGGCATGTGACAAATATGAAGTGTATTGAATTTATTTTTTTGTTAAAAAGGAAATAAGGGAAAATGAAAATTAAATAGAGAGAAAAAAGTTCCACAAACAGGACAATAAAGTGAATTAATTTGTGATAATTGCGGTCACACTAAACCAGGTCACATTTCACATGGCAGTTTGAACTTTGAAGTTAGCAAGGGGTTGACTTGCAGTAGTATCTGCATAACAAGACAGTGATGTCTCTAGAGACCAACAGTGGGGTTTTTCCTTTCTGGCTTTCTGATTTTTGTTTTCTGGTTTCTGATCAATTATTATACATATTATTGAATTTGTTCGGTCATCTCATCTAAAAATATAAATAATAAGAAAAATCACATTTTTATTATGTAATTCTTTCTTTTACACACTGATAATATACAGACAGAATTATTTTGTAACAAGCTAATTACTATTTGGAAGTACTTCGATAAAAAGTGACGATGATATTTGAAGTCAGGGTATTTAATATTGTATGATCATCTCGCCTAAATATTTTTATTATATTTTCAAAATATATATATAAAGTAAAATAAAAGAGGTTGCCTGTTTGAAATAGTCAAATATGGGGAGAGGGACACCATATCCCATTTAGAAACTGGACAGATTGGCCCAGGTCCAGCACAGTGTTTACTCTAAGCTAACATGCATTGGCTTCGGCATTTGCAACTTTCAACAGCTAATCAAGCTTCATTTAAGACACTTGCTAATTTTTTCTTTTCATTGTTTTTCCAAGACAAGTAATGGTTGGTTTTGTTAATGCTTTGGGAATATAAAGTTACTATACTTTTTGTGAATTCTTACAACTATCAAATTGGAGCTATTCTTGTGTTACTTGTCTTATACTATAGCAAGTCGTTGGATTAAGTGCCTATTCGGCAGTTATTGAATTCATAGCAGAGGTACTGGTCCAGACAACAGAGGTGGATAAAGTAAAAAATAAAACTCCATTTGTATAATTATTGGTGCAATTAATAAACTGTTGCCCTTTGACTTCCTACTCTACCTAGAATTGTCTGCATGTATAATTCTTTTACTCTTCCTTACCTTGCTTATTTTTTACTCATTTGGGGAGGGAGCATAAGTAATCGCATTAAGTAATTCACGTCTACTTAAACGTTTCATTTTACATAGCGGTGTGTTACTGGACATAAAGATTTTAAAAAAAAAGTAAAACTTGTTATTAAATTATATGTAGTTTGATATTTCTATAGGTCTTCGAAAACAAATAGCGTCATATAATGAAATAAAGATAGTACAAGCAAGATATATAGGTAATAATATATAACTCGAAATCGATATATTATTCAATAGAACCATAATGGTGAAGCTCACGAATGTTAATTGGAGAAATTACACTAGGATCACCATTCAAGAATTTTTTCGCAACTATAACATTAGCAGCTTCAGTAGGATGATAGGCATCCCAAAACACATATTTTCCTCTATTCTCACACATCACAGAGCTTGTATTTGCATTTTTCCCTTTGTAGCAAACGAATGGCGGAAAATATCCACCGCAACATGGCGCATCTCCATTCTCAAATCCTACGAATTTTACAAAACAAAACGTTGTTAAGGCAATCCGGTGCACAGAACATTTCGTATTCAGAGTTCGAAGAAGGGCCGCTAGTTAAATGAAATTAAGACTTACCATGCTGTTTATAATTTAGTATAATGTCTCTGAAAACATCGTAGGAATTTGCATATAAGAAGATGGCTTTAGGTCCCATGTCTTTGTTCAGACGATTTAACTCTGCCTTAAGTCTTTTATTGTAGCTCCTGATTAATGTATTTACCTCCACAGAGCATTTACCCCCTGATATTAGTTTGATAGCACGAATAAATGGAATGCAGCCAAGAGGTCCAACACCAACCACTACGAATTTTCGAGCCCCTAATCCATGCAGTCTCTTCTTGCAAGAAAAGAAAAAGGTTAATTAACATATATTAGCGCTAAAACAATTACTTCCTCTATATCATTTTATATTATATGATACTTTATTCCTTTTTGGTATTACGTGGAGCCAAAAAGACACGTGGCAGATTCTTATTTGTTTTCTTTTTCACACAAAATGATTTTATGATCACGCGTCTGAGTTTTTTCTGGAATTGAAAATTTTGTGTTTAATAGACACATTTTGAAGCATGTTGGAGTGTCTAACAGGAATAAGCTCTAGTTAATATGCCAAAATAAAAACAGCTGGCAACTTTGGGGCCGCTTGTGCATTTGGCCTTTAAAATTCTTTAAGTTTAAATTTCTTTTTACTTTAATTATAGCCACAAAATATCATGACATATTTAACGGAAAGTTTTTTTTTTTTTCTTCTTAAATTGCGTGCTGAATCAGATATAAATAGTTTAAATGAAATAGAGGGAGTAGGGATCAAGTAGAGGAGCATGAACTAGTAAAAGTACCTGAAGATTCATAGTCAAGTTAGAAACTAGGAAGTCTTGGAATGTGGTTGGAGAAACCTTTTCATAACTAAGAAAGGGGATAGATGGTTGGAAATAGTTAATGACATCGTTAGAGCCAATTGTTACAGAAAACATGGCTTTCGTTAAAAATCTCTTTGCATTTTTCTCTCCCATTGCATTCACAATGTATCTTCTGCTTTCCTCAAAATTGTTGATCTGTTCTCTTAATGGCACTCTTCCTATCTGCAGCACATGTAACATGTGTCATAGCAACTCATTAAAAAGTGAAATTAGTCTGGAAATTAAAAATATGTTATCTGCTATAACAAGTTTTTATATATATATATA